TGTAGGCAAAATAATTAATTATGGAGAAAGGTACAAAATAGTCAGCCGGAGAAAGCTAGAATCCAATAAAAGGGAAAGGTAGAAAAAAAAAGGCAAAAAGACATTAGGAAAATAATAATAATAAAAACAACCCCAGCAGCTATATAAAGTAATTGGGAGAGCAGTCCCCAACCAAGTTAGGGGGAGTAATAGAAATAAACTAATTGATTCAGGAAAGCAATCGTGGAATAAAGTGAAAATGAAATGTCAAACTTGCAGCCTGCGGCCTAGCTGCTTGGCCTGTGCTGGCAGAAGACAGGAAGGGCAGCCAGATTCCTGTCCCACCAGCGACTTGCCAAAGCTGCACAAAGCTTTCAGAATGTTCAGGTGATGGAGCTGACAGCATCCAGCCTGCCCTTGAAGCTGTAATAAAAAACAACTAAAAAAAAAAGTGAGAAAAAGGGAAGGAGCAGAGTGGCTTCTTGAATTTAATGGAGTCGAAGCAAAGAGGAAATGAGAAACCACAATGAAGAATACATTGAAAAAAAAATTGCAAAGAACAAAAAATACATTCTCAAATGGCAAGGGAAAAACCAGGGCCTACAGGGCCTCGTGGGACAGACCCCAGGAAGTAAGGCCATTCAAGAAAAGTGGCTTTCGGGTGAAAAGAGGAGCAGAACAAGACAGCAGGAAGAGCGCACCTGGGAAAGGCCCTGCACCCAGCCCGGTAGCACGGCTCCCTGACATGGAGTGTCTAGGTGCTGAGCCCCCGCTCTGCCCTGAAAAGAAAGTGTGACTAAAAAGGGGTCATTTAACCTCACTGAGCCTCCTCTGGCAATTTTAATATAAGGGGACTGGGTTTGATGACCTAAGTGCCGGTCTAGCGCTCCCTAGAGCAGTCTACGAAAATAGGTCTCCTTGAATCCAGCCCCTTTTTTTCTGCTTCAGTTCTGATGTGTGGGGCTCTATTCAGGGGCACAGAAACAACTCCGAGGTGAGAAAGAGAGACCAACAGTGTAGGAACAACATGAAGCACACTGAGAAACAAAGAAACAAACTCTTAGGGAAGAAAACAGAGATTCTGTAACAAATGTAACAAATTATAGTACAACCCCTGTAAGTTGCTGACCCAAAGCGCTGTAACAAACTGCTCAACATATAGAGGTGGTCAACATTGGGAACTAGGCCCCCTGTACTGACACATACATGTGGTGCATGTCAGTCTATGAAAATTAGATCAGCTCTAGCTTCTACTGTAATAACAACACTCCCATGCTGGGATCCACTATTAACAGGCATGGCACCAATTAAAAATGTTTTAAATAAATGTGACATATTTATTTTATCTTTATGGCCTTGTAAATGTATCTAGCACCAAGTCTCAATTATAATTTCAAAACTAAAATATAACATCTAAGCGGGTGGGCAGGAGAAAGCCTGAGAGTGAATGTCAGAGAAAGAAAAATACAGCCGCATGCCTCAAAGGGAAACTAAAACAGAAATCATCTCGTCAAGAAGCTGTCAAAGATCCTGTGGAGAAGAGCCTTGCAAAACCAAAATAGACAGACAGACAAAAAAAGAGAAAGTGGTGAAGTCCGGGGACTGGTGTGCCCTGCACACTGGTGAGTTGCACCTGAGTTCTTGTGTGGCTCTCTGGCCTTCGGGCTCCCAGGTGCCAGGCAGTGAACAGTCTTGTCTCTTCATGGCATTACCAAATGGTCAAAGAAACAATGTTATCAATTATTTTTAAGAAGGGTGGCAGTATTGGCAAAGCTTGAGAAACACTGGAATACTGACCACAGGATGAAGAGAAGTGAGAAAAATCATCCTATAAAATAAAAAAAATAATAAACTTCATAACAGAATAATCAGAAAGACCATAGTAGCTGGTTATGCTTAAACAGACATAGGGAAGAGAAAAGTAAAGCTCCCTGCTGCAATGTGCTGCTAAAAATAGATGATGAAATACTTATTATTTGAGCTGGAAGGAATCTTAAAGCTTGCGACAGTTTTTGAACACTGGTTTGCAGTTGTGTGTGCATACGTCTCCCTCCAACTGCTGAGTGTTGGCTCCTGACTGGTGGGACCATACGGGGTTACAGGTGGGTAAGAATACACGGTGGCTAGTAGAGTGTTGGCATATAATTCACATTTGTCCAGTGAATGAGGGAATTAGTGCACTTTGTTCAAACATTCCTTTTACAAATGTCCAGAGAGGCTGACGAAACATAGATGCTTAATGTCACTAGGAAGCAGATCCTGGGCATCCTTGCCAGTTCAGAGCTCATTTCATCCCCTCTGCCATGCTTCCTTTGCCCCAGGCCTCCTGGGTAGAGCGGTCGGCAGGGAGCATGGAATGGCCCAGAAGTAAAGAGCCAGCTCCGCAGGTCCTAGCTCTCTCACTCTCTGGGGAATCAAAACCATTTCTTTGTAAGTGGGACTTGAAAAACTGGAAGTTTCCTTGTCTGTGAAATACTGTGGTCCCAGCAAATCATTTATGGGACTTCTTATTACCCCACATTAAAACCACAAATCTCTGCAATCAGTCTGGTTTTCAAAGAAAACAGAGCTGAAGCTCCCTCACACTGACCATCCAAATGAGCACCAGAGGGTTTTCTGAAATGTCTGAAGTGTTTAACAAACTTTTTCACGCAAGGAAAAGAACTACCCACTTCTTGCTTTTTAAAAAATCTATCCGACTTTCCTTTGCAAAGCCGTACAGAACTTTCAGAAAGAGGAATTCTGAAGGATTTTAATTCATTATTTGATTTTGACTAAGTCAGTTTTTGCTTGTGCACAAAAACTAACATTTAGTTCATATTTAAGACTATTCTTAAATTAAGAAACCTGCTTTGCTTTTCTGTCTATCTTTGGGGTGGTTTACTAAAATAAAGGTTGTGCTTTCAAAAATGGAAAAATGTTTTAAAATCCTGATTCAAGTCTCAAATACTAAAAGCTCTGTATTTGATGGAGACAAGTCCAAGTCTAATCTCTCTAGACTCAACAGGAAGGAGAAAAGCCAGAGGCAGCTGCTAAGAGGGCACCGTGCAAGTGTGTGCCCAGCCCTCCCTCCTCCCCTCTGTCCTCGCTTCCCCTGGCCTCTGCACCTCCACAGCTTGCACAAAGGCCTCACAGGATTAGCTGGCCTAAAATAGCCCTAGGTAAACATACCACCTGTCCAGGAAATTAAAACACTTTTGCCTACGAGAGGCTCTTCCTTTAGCAAAACTAGTTCTCTAATTTTGAGCCTCCTTCCTGTCCAAATTGAATGTTTTTGTTTTCCTATACCAAACAAAAAGTGCACTATTTCTCTGTAATTCCTCCCTCCCCCCTTTACTTGTGATCATCCGAAAGTGCCTGGTGTAGCCTCTTAAGAGTTCAAATCATCTATTTATAGGTTGCAACTAAAATGAAGCTTATGCTTTCACCTGAATCCTTAGAGAAAGACACAGGATTTTTGAACAGTGACTAATGTAGACTTGCAGTCTGATAAATGTAATAACATACAATAACAATCCCCTAATTTGAAAAGGGTTTTATAGTTTGCAATACACTGTTAAGTCATCTGACATTCAGTTGCATGTCAAGGGATAAATGTTGTCCCCACTAGAGATGACATATGAATGCCAGAGAGTTTATCATGCTGAATATCACACAGCTGGTGACAATCTGTGTCAATTTATAATCCAATGATCCTAATTACTAACTGAAGGTTCTTTTATCGCACAAAGCAACAATGTTTCTTTGTTTATTTTTACCTAAACCAGGGAAGATATCAATGGCTTATTTCTACTATCGATGCATAAGTAGGGTTTCTCTTCTCTCTGTCTCCTTTTTGGAGTTCAGTATGTGATTTTACCAGGGAGTGAAAGTCCTAGAAGCATTTATGATCTCCACCCTTCCCAATCTGCAGAGAACAAAAGTATGCCGGACAAGTCTCTCCCTACGGTTCGGATATTCTTGCACTCCCATCTGTGAGTGTCTTTGCCCTGTCTTTATGTGTTTGACCTGAGATGTCCTGGTTTCAGCAAGCCAAGCTCTCTTTTCCTATCAAGTTCCATGGACTGTATTTACAGCAGGGATTCCTGTCTGTGGATTTCAGTTAACCTTAGGAGTCAAGGATCTATTTTCTCTGATTTCCTTTACATAGAAATCAGTGTGGCAGTTGATTATTTCCTGAAGAAAGAGAACACAGATATGAAAATGAGTGCTCTGTGGTGATTGGCAGCGAAGCACGATGTGTTCAGTCTGAGCAAGACTGGATTAAACACAGCAACTCCATTCAAGGGGAAGCTGCAGCTGCAGAATTATCCACCCTCTCGCAGAGATCAAACTCTGTGTGTGTGTGTGTGTGTGTGTGTAAGATCCATTAAAGACTTTATATTTACCCTAAGAAAAAAGTGTTCCAATCATCTGAAAAGTGAAGAATGAGAACTTAAAAAATACAACACCTTTGTATAAGCAATTTTAAGAGGAAGAGGGGAAAGAAACATTCTGTGGACTCTAGTAAACATCTTAATGAGAAAACATCTGTCTTTGAGTGTCTTTACTTCTGGGGAGCAAAAAGATTAGAGGGGATTCCAGTGATCTCCCAGGATATTTGGTGCCTTCTGTTACTGGGACTTCCAGGAACAAAGAGTGAGGCTCACTGTACAAAATCTAGACTGGATGTTCATTTGTGCCCTGCCAGCCTTTACCAAATCCTGAAGGGTCAAACACAAGGTTCACTTGTCTCCCATGGTTCAGTGGGAAAAACAGGCACTTAGAAAAAGTCAAAGGAAAGGCCAACTTTAGGTACGAGGAGTGTGGAAAGGGGGTTACCTGGAAAGAAAATTATCCTTCATATACTGGCTGGGGCTTGGTTCTATTGTTTTAAACTGCCCATATCTAGAACCAGACATCTCTGTTGCAAATCTCCCACTTAAAAGGCAAAGAAACAGGACTATTCTTAATCTCTTAAAGCCTGTGTAAAATATACTTACCAGCTCCTGCCTTGTTCTCCTCTCCTGGGACTGCTCACATCATCTGTGCTCCACCACAAAGCTCATGGTGGTGCCATCGAAGGATGGGGGAGCAATGAGCCGTGGTCCCAGGGGCTGTGAAGTGATGCTGATGACAGGCTTGCTGTGTAGCTGGGCAAAGCCCTTGGCCCCCACAAGCTGGGATGTGGCCACTGGGGCTGAGGAAGAAGAGGAGGTGGGAGACTGTCCAGAAGCCATGAAGTATGGGGCCTCTGTGAAAGCTGCAGATGCCTCTTTGCTGGGGTGCTCTGCCGCCATGGGGGAGAGCTCACTGCCCCCTGGAGTGTGAGCAGTTGGTGTGGACTGCAAGGCATTGGTGGGCAGCACCGTGGGCAGAAACCCGGGGTAGATCATGTAGGTGGGTCCATAGGCACCAGGACTCAGAGCCAAGGGAGGCACAGGGAAGGACATGGGAGCCACAGCCTGCTGCTGGGAGGTCATGGGCACATCCACGTACTGCCCCGTCTCAGGGTCAAACAGTCTCCGTGTCAGGGGCTGCACTGGGGTGTCCACCAGATAGTACTGGCCAGTCGTGACATCCAGGAGCATCTTGCGCTGTGTCTGCTGAGGCTTTGGTTGCTGGAAGGGGTCTGTGGTGACCGAAGCTGGGCCTGCAGGAGCTGGGGCAGGCATGCCAGGGGGGGAGAAGCAGAGGACCTGGGGCTGGGCCCCCTGGAGGGTGAAGGGCAGTGGCTGCTGGTGGTAGATGGCCGTGGGGGGATGCTCAGGGCTCTGCAGCCCTGGGGGGGCAGCTACTGTCTCCCGCGGGTTGTCAGGTTTGGTTCGCCAAGCTGGCCGGCTGGTGCCACTGACCTGAGAGCCTTTGGGGCTACTGGGGACCTGACTGCGGGCACTCAGTGGGGGTAAACTGCAGAGAGTGGCAGCTGAGGAGGCGAGGGGGCCCTCCCTCGCAGCCCCGAGCCGCGCTCCGGCAGCAGAGCTTCCTTTAAGAGGGATGGTCAGGTAATTCTCAGAGTCACTGCTGCTCTTCTCCAAATTGTTGCCACTTTTCCTGTTGGTCACCTCATCAGGAAGTGCCCGGGTGGCTGGAGAGATCTTGAGGGACCGAAGTCCCTGCGATTTGATGCCCTTGGCCGCTGAAGGACTCTCTGGAGAGGGCCCTTGTGGGAACTTGCCGGCTACGCCTCCAGTTTTCTGGGCGCTGCTGGTGCTCACCGTGAACACATTCCGGTTGCTGGGGAGTGGGGGGAGGGGCTGCAGGGGTTGGGTTCTCTCCACATCCTTGTGGACTGGGGGGATATAGAGAGATCGGGGCCTCTGCCTGGCCAAGTTCTCAAAGGCAGCAGCCCTGGCAGACACACTCTCAGAGCTGGGGTTGGAGTTTCTCCGCTGCAGACGTTCTAGTGGGGCCCCTCGAAAGACCACATCACCTTTGTGCCCTGGGCCTCGCTCTTCCACCTCACCCATCCGTTTGGCCACCTTGTTGTGGCCTCCCTCAGCACCCACCACCCCTTCCCTCTCCTCGCTGGCAATGAGCGACAGGACGTGGCTGTCTGTCATCATGGGCAGGGGGTCGCTTTTGCGCTTCCACTCGTTCCTGTTGAAACTGTACAGCTCTTCCATGGACCGCACCGCAGCAGTCAGCTTCTCCAGCGCATTGGGGGCGGGCTTGGGGGCTTTGCCTTCCTCCTTGACTTCCTCCTCCTTCAGTTTCTCTGGGGTCTTCTGGGCAGAAGCCTTGGAAACGATCTTCAGCACAGGCAAGTATGAGCCCTGCTCAGGCTTATTTGGGGCAATAGTGGCCACAGGCAGCCTGCCAGATGCCCTGTGAACCAACACCGTCCCTTCTGGGGAGGGATTCAAGACGCTGTTGCTGCCACTTTTGCCCACGCTGTCTCTTGACTCCCGGTCCATGCTGTCCTCCCTCTGGTTCACCAACGCCTGGCACGTAATCACCAAGGGGGATAGGGACCTGGACCCAGCAGCTGCAGCAGCCAGCTGCCTAGGTTTGGGCCCTGTCAGCCCCTGCTCTGGAGTGACACTGCCCTTGTCACTGCTGTCCCCTGACCCCTTGATGAGTTTCCTCACGTCTCTCACCTGGTGCAGGGGGCCTTGAGCCTTGGACTTGTCTCTGATATCTCTCACCTGAAAATGGGGCACTTTTTCCAGGTTGTCCCCACGGAAGAGTTTCTGCTGTGCCCTGCTGCTGTCCTCAACGGTCTTGAAGAGGTTTGAGGCGCTGCCACTGGCCAGCTTGGGCGTGAGCAGCTTGGCAATGTTGAAGTCAGAGCTTGGCTGCTGCACGCTACCCAGCCGGATCTTGATTTCGGGAGCCTTGGGCCTAATGACTGCCGTGGAGGTGGCCTGGGCAGCGGAGTACTTGGTGGCCTGCTTCCCCGGCTGCTTTTCCTTGGGTGTCTGCTGGATGTTGGGGACAAACAGGCGAGACATGATGGTCGCCTTGCTGGCAGAGATCTCCCCGAGATCAGCCCTCCAGTCTGCTCCTTTGGGGAGCTTCAGCTTCCCCACCAACGCTTGCTCCTGCCGCTTCTCTGCCTCCTTCTCCTTCCACGAGCGGAAGGCACTGTTCTGGCTGCGCAGGAAGATGCCCTTGACAGTCTCCGAGGCGCTCTTTTTAATTTCACACACTTCTGTGTGTACCTCGGGGAAATTCCGGCCGGAGCCTGCAGTGCTCTCCCGAGGGGTACAGGCTTTGAAAACTGGGGATTTAGACCCTGCTGCGGACCCTTCTCCACCTGCATCAGACACGCTGACCACCGTGTACTCAGAGCCGGCCTCCGAGTGGTGGGAGCTCTGCCTCTGCAGGCCCCTCTCCCGCTGCTTCTCACCCCCGGGGGAGGGTTCCGGCTCCCTGGAGGTGCGGGGCAGCTTGTGCTGGGATGTGTCGGTGACCTCTCCCCTCTCCATTTTGAACTCATGCTCTCGCTGCATCTTCTTGGAAATAACATTTTTGAGCAGACTGGAAGCGAACTTGGACTTCTGGGGGCCATCTGCACGGGAGGCAGGCTTGCTGCTTTCAGAGGTCTCCGAGTCGTCGTCTGTGTACACAGACCCTGGACCCTTGCTGCAGCCTTTGGTGCCCCTGCAAGTCCCAGTGGCCGAGCTGGCTTTGCTCTCACTGCGTAAATTCAGGGGCTCAAGAAGGGTGACCACGCGGGAGCCCGTCTGCACCTGCTTCTGGAAACACAGGGGTGTCTCCACGTGTTTGATTTCCCCCTCGACTTTGCTGACCACGAACTCCAAGGCCTTGGTCTGGGACTTCTTGGACTGGATGTAGAGCTGGTCTGCAGGGGCCCTGGCCCCACCGCCCTTCCTCAGACCTGCGGCCACCGAGGACGCGCTGCTCCGGAGGAGGCTCTGTTCCACCCTGGCTCCAACACCTCCACATTTTAAGTCCAGGAAGGTCGACCAGCGGCCAAAGCCCACTTCAGAGAGTGTGGTGGAGGACTCCCGGGAGCTGATGTTCAGAGCCTCAAAGTAGGGGTAGGCTAGGCTGCGGAAGGCCCGGGAGGTCAGGTTACGCACCTCTTTGTCTGCGTCGTCCAGTTCGCTCACCGCACTGGAGGCTCCACTGGAGTAGTCCACCAGCTCCTTCGCCCGGATGGCCCCGCACCTGGTTTGCAGGCGAGCAGGGACGGCGATGAATTTCTTTGCATGGTCCTGAGCCACGGCTGCAGCCGGGTTTTGCTTCAGTGAACTTGAATTGTGTTCAGCAGCTGTAGAGACGCGGAGGCTCATGTCGCCTTCATGCTTGGCAGAATAAATAATGTTTTGCTTTGCACGCACGTTGCTAGGCTCATTTATAGCCCGGGAAGTCGGTTTGATTGATAGGAGGATCTGGCTTGCGCTCCCACAGCTGCTTGCGGCGGCGGCTGCTGCCCCTGAAGCTGCCCCCAGGGATTCGGGCAAGGGCTGGCTCACCCGGGCAGTGCCAGGCCCAGTGGGTGGGGGCGTGGGGCCGCCATCAGAGGGGCCGCTGCACACTTCGGTGCTGCTGGTGTCACGGTCTCTGTGCCCTGCGTTGGGGCGGGCCAAGTCACTGCTGCTGGGGCTTGGTGTCCTGGTGGCGTTGGTGCTGGGAGTGGTGCTGAGGTAGCAGCTGTTGTCGTCATCTTCTTCAGTGGGGGTGGTGACATCCCCCGGGGTCTCATCGCTGCCACCAAAGGAAGCATAGTCCACGAACGAGTAGATCACGTTGTTGTCCTCGAAATCCCAGCGGGAGGCCAGCCCCACATCGAAATCCATGTCCTGTTCCACTTCACTCAGCTGGATCTCATGGGTGGTGATGTAGTGAGCCTCTTGGTCTTTGGGGGGGTCTCTGCTGCCCTGGGACTTGGCAATAATGTCCCTGCACTCTGTGCCATCTCCTTCTCCTCCTCCACCTCCTCCTCCTTCTGATTTTCTCCGTTTTTCTCCTCCCCTGGGCTGGCAACCCTCACTCTCACCGCTTTCGCTCTCAAACCCTAAGGATGAAGAGGAAGTGGCCAGACCCCCAGTAGAGGGGTTAGACTCTTCCATTTTAGAAAGGCCATCCTCTTCTGCTTTGTCCACAGGAGAGGAGGATGAAGAGGATGAGAAGTTACCACCCTCACCAGTGGCATAGAGCTGGGATCTGGAGAGACTGGAGGACGCAGGACTCCCTTGGGGGGTTGGAGCCTGGTACTCCTGACTGCTGGGATCATCTTGGGCTTTCTCCTTTGGGCTCCCAGAGGCACTCCGATCCTTAGGGCAGGGCCCCAGAGTAAGTTTCACGGTCCTGGGACTCTCCCTCTGGACTTCAGCTGAAGTGCACATCTCCACACACTTTGCCTCTAGCTGGGAAGAAGCTGAAGGCTTGGGAAGCGGCGGCAGCTGCTGCTGGAGCTCCTGGCTGCCTTGAGCTCTGCTCCCTGGGTCTTCCACCTCCACTGCTCTGGCCTGCGAATCCAGCTCAGGAGTGGTAGCTTCCATTTTGAGCCCTCGTCCAGGTTTCAGCGACAGGAAGAGGCACTGGTGAGCAATGGGGATGTCCTGGGTCCTTCTCTGGCCCCAGAGGGGCTTCAGAGTTGCCCGGAGCAGGGTTGCACGGGCCTGGACTGGCCCTAAGGCTGTAGGCACCACTCCCGCTGCTGCCACTACCTCCCAGTTCTTCAGCCCCTGTGGCGGGGACGCAGCAAGCCTGAGGGAGGGGGGGAAGCTCCTGGATGGGGCAGCGGCAGAGGTGGTCGGAGACTGAGGGGCTGCTGCTCTGGCCGAGACTGTGGCCAGCGTCCGGCAGCTGAGCTGTCCTGTCCAGTTGTTTGCCTGGCGGTGTTGGCAGTTAGGAGTCTGAATGCCATCAGCCACGGAAGGAGCAGCATCTGTAGATTGACCCTGGGACTCCCAGAAATGGAAGGAAAGCATGTGCTGTTTCTTGTGAAGTCCGGTCCCTTTCCTGGATGGGGCGAGAGAGGGTCACGTCATTCCAGAAATATTTTTAGTGTCCATTCCCTAGTCCTACTGAAACCACACTTGAGGGTAGAAAGAAGAGGCCCTAAAGAGCTGAAAAGAGAAAGTTGGGGGTGGAAGAGGCATGTGAGTTCTAATTCAAATCAACCAAATGTTCTATGTAATCTATTATAGAGATGTCTAGCGAGTATGAAAATGATTCTTTCCTTACTGCCATCTTTCATTCTCAAGTCTCTGATTAAATGGATTTTTTCCCCCTTGTTCTTAAATAAAATTCAGATTTTGCACTGCATTTCAAATCAACTGAGGACACTCCGGAAATATTTTAAAATCTCCCTTGCACATATATGGTAGCTTTATGTTTGCCTCAAAATATGCATTTCTTTTTCATTGGGGAGCCAAATCTGATAAGTTTAGGTAATAAAATTTTTCACAGGAATAGAATATTCTGTCCCTCTTTCTCCAAAGTTACATTCTATGAAACATAACATTTTCTTTTTTCAAAATAGGAAGAATCTCTTCCAGAATCCTTACTGTGTTGATGAAAAGTATAAAAGGGCAATCTTTTAAGACTTAAAACTTAACAATTTAAATGAACTTTGAATTATAGTCACTGAGAAGGAGCACATGGGGCCAAAATGGACACTCCTTCCAATCCCTACATCTCATCAATCTCAAAAAAGTGCCCTAAACTTGTAAAACTGTGGAAAACAATAAACCACCAATTAAATATAGCCTGACAGCAGACTCATGATTCGGTTACGCTGGCTAAATTCCAGGCCCGCAGGGAACCGAGTCAAAAAGAGAAAGAACAACGAACACACTTACCCTTCAAGAGTACAGTGCGGCTTGGAGGGAGGTTCACAGAGGAAATATGACCTATTGGCACGCCCCATGGAAACGAAGCCAAAATCCCAGTTCACTAGCTCTGAGGTATATCCATTTCAGATAATTCAGTAGTCATACAGGAAAATTTGCCAGGCAACCCAAGACAGGGGTCTGTCCTGGCCATGCTCAGACAGATTCCTTGGGTACTATCAGCAGAGAACGACTCTTGATTTTGGTGAGATCTTATCACCTGCCAGGCCCAATTCCACCACTATACATAGTCTATGTGTCACTTATGCTGATTGAATAAAGCACTATTTTAAACATCCACATTTGTGGGGAACAAAAATAACACCATCAAGCATCCCCTTCCAACAGGAATGCCACCCCCACATAGAAAAATGTTCCTTCCTCGGAACAGGCATGTGGGTAGGTGTGGAGTGGGAGCCCCTAACAACCGAACCATCTACCTTCTCTGACTTGGGATGTGGACGGCACAGCCTTGCCATTCTCCCCACAGCAACTCCCTTGCCCATACTACTGCCATTAAAAATAGAACCCAGGGAAGGACTGAAACTATCCAGAATCACAGTGTGGATACAAAGCTGGAGCTCTAAGTGAAGAGGGAGAAAGAGAAAAAGAAAAAGAAAGAAACAAAGAGAGGAAAAAAAAAAGAACTAGGAGAGAGGAGAATTTGCTAAATTTGCAATCAACTTTTCAATTATGGAGAACCATGTTTAATGGCACAAAATCTTAGATTCTTAATAATAATAACAACCAAGACTTACTGATATACTGCTTACCACATGCCGTTAACTACTTGAAACACATTTTAATGTGTGTATATTCATTTATTTAGTTCTCATAACAAGCTGATGAATTAGGTATGATTATTGTTCCCATCTGATTTAATAGATGGGAAAGGTGAGATGCAGAGATGTTAAGGAATTAGGATATAGACTTCAAACTCAGGAAGTCTGGCTCTTAAGCTTGGACCATAACGATTATGCTACACAGCCATGCTGCCTTCCACACTGAGTACTCTACAGAACTCCCAGGTTCTCAGGAGGGAGCAGCTTATCTATCGGGCATTTTATTTTATTTCAATAACCACAAATAAACCACATAACTGTGGTTTTCTGTTTTCTTTTGTTTTGTTTTCATACAATCAACCTGTGTACACATTTTGTACTCAGGGGTTAAGGATCTTGGTCCTATAAATAAGATGAAATAAAATATAATTGGCTCCTGCAGGGAAGCAGAGTATTTTCAGTGCCCCATTTTAATTTTGCTTTGAGACTGACCGTGCCCTGGACGATAAGCCCTGAAAACCACCTCAAGCACTCTGAGGCATCATACTCTGCAACTGAATAGGAGGCAGAGTTTCTGCCCCTCACCGCAATGAAAGTCTAAGGAGGAATTTTTCCAGCACTCTTCATATGGCCCTGTCTGTCATAACAGCTGAGCAGAGTTTCTCTCTGCAGTTGGCAAACTACAAAGCTGGGAGGTCAGATGCCCTGGGTGCAGATTAAGACATAATAGCTTAATACACAAAGTTCTGAAAGTCTACTTTCAGAGTCTTGCTTTCTCCAGAGAACACAGCCCCAGCCAAAGCTCCCCAAGAGGCAAAGAGCAGATTGTTCTAAAAGAGATACTTACCTTCAGAGTCTCTGTGTGGCTCCTCTACAGCTTTCCATCTAAATGAATGCCAGTGGAGGAAAAAATCTGAAGGGAAATCTTTTTCAAGTAAAGTCAATTTCCAAATAGTCGTGTTTAATTCAAACCACAAATTCTCTTTAAAAATCAAACAAGCCAAAAATTTGGAGTAGGACAGACTCAAAAGAAAATCTAAGAAAACCTCATATATGGGAAAACAATAACCAATTATAGGCTAAAGTAAGATGATTAAAAACCTCAAACTGCTTACCCTCTAGCATTTTCAGAGTTCTGGGGCAGTATACATTATTATGCAAATAGATGCTCTCAATTCCGTTGCAATAACTGGCAGTCATTTGTTAGCCATAGGCTTTTATTCCCTAATATGACTACAGTCATTTATTTTTTTTTACAGATGAGCTCAGTGATTGCCTACCTGATCTCAACCCTTGAGCAATTAACAGTGACTATGTCACCAGCACTAAACCATGCTAAGCAGACACACTAACTAGACCAAGCAAGGTATACTTGGTTGATAACTTTATATGGGAATTCAAAGAGTAACAAAGGAAATGACTCAGTGTCAGTATTTTTGTCTCTACAGAGAAAGTTTCTGAGCATTCCCTGAAAGGCTTGTGAGATGATAGCATGTAAAAGAATGAAGGTCAGACTATCCACCACTTGGCGAAAGGATATGATTATATTTAGGTCTCTGACACCAGAATAATATAATACATGAACATGTCATTCAAAAGGAAGAACAATTTATTAAAGGTAGACCACTAGACCAGAAATAGAGAGAGAAGTTAAGCTCAGACTCAACTGGAAGTCAGACAAGGAATCAGAAAACACAGACATTCTCAGGCTTCTCGGGGAGTGATGGGTTAATGGTATTATTTTTTGATTCCCTTAAAGTTCTCCATAGACACTGGCACAGCTATTTGCACACACTGATGTGAAGGAGGTTTTTCTTCTGGCCACTGTTTAACACCCAGAGGGTAGCCAGCTGTGTCTCTTCCTGGCTCAGGTAGGCACACATATGAATTACATCTGACGGAAAGGCACCATAGTATCTTTTTTGCTGAAGATGCCAAAAAATATTAGTTATTTAGTTATTGACTGAAATCTTTTACACACTTTTGCCCATCAGTCCTCTCAAATGTACTATGAGAGAAGAACTACTTATTCCCATTTTATAGATTATAAACATGGACGCTGAATGAAGACATGTGCCCTACATGACTTTTCGCAATTAAGAAGTGCTGGAGCCCCTCTTGGAACCCAGTTCTGAGGGACTGGAACCCCTGCTCAGTGGATGATTGAACATTCTGTCTAAGAGGTGGAGGTCACAGGGTCATGTCACTGCTGGCCAATTAGCTATTTTACGGCCTCAACCAGCTGCTTGCACACAGGACCAGTTGGTCACCATGGAGTCCAAGGAAATGGAGTGGTAGGATTAGTGTAAAACTATCCCTGTGAATAGAAAAACAACATGTACCATGAGGATGAATAAGTAGCTGTCTCTTCTAGTGTGAAGAAGAGCACGTTATGTCAAATCATGCCATGCACATTGTAAATGCAACCCCTTAGCCTTGCCCTTAAAACTTGGAAGGACGGGAAGGAAGAGTTCACCACCAGAAATAAAATATTACTAACAGCCACTCAAGCCTGCACACAGAGGCCAGAGGTGATGCAAAAAGGTTTTTACTTTTCCCCTTGAGTCAAGCTGTATATCAAAGAGTCGCTCCTCTCTGGTTTCCCTCTCTCTCTTCCCTGTGAAGGGTCTCTCAGGCTTTTGCCCTCCCTTTGCTCATACCAGTCCCCCTCTTCTTCCTCTTGGCACCTGACCCATTGTCCCAGACAGTCGTTTCCACCTGGCTTTCACTTAAGGGCTTTGTGAAGGTTTGGTGTTTCAGATCTTACCAAGTAAAGGGAAATTATCCTTCTTTAGCAGCCTCAAAGTGAAACATCCACTGACAAACAAATCTTGCTCTGTATAATACTGACCAATTCAAATGACCTACTCTAAATCTCCATTCGTCTTACCCCAGACCCCCATCTGTTATCCTAGTGCGCATGGTCTAGAGAGGCAGTTGCCCAGGGCACCTCCACAAGTCGGAGAGGGCAGGTCTGAAAAGATGCCTCATTAGTTTTGACTAGTTACTGTACAGTTCCAGGTTTGTGTTGAAACACAATGTAATTAACCAGCCAGCTCAGCAGCCTATCTAGAGAATCACATAAATGACTTATTTCTGTGATGTTAGAAATTTTTATTTTACTTTTTTTTTTAGCCTTTTAATTCTTGTTATTGCACTTTGGGAGCTAGTTAAAAATATGTTTCCATTTTTATTTTGAAAAGTGTTTATTTCCCCTACATGTCTGATTTCAGACTTCAGCAGTTTCCAACATGAGCCTTTAAAGATCTCAATATTTTACTTTTCAGGTTTCTATTTCCTACAAATATTTGGAAT